TCATATATTACAATTATTTGATATAATAATTAATTATACAATAAACTGATTTATTTCCCACAGGTACTGGCTTGCGTCGCCTTTTTGGCAGTCGCGTCCGCGCAGGTTCAGGTGGTTCAGAAGCCGTCGTTGATCGTGAAACAATCTCAGGACTTATCGCCGGACGGTTCTTACTCTTACTCTTACGAAACGGACAATGGGATTTATCACGGCGCGACCGGAACTCGGGTGGCCACGAACGCGAAGAACACTCCGGTGATCGTGACCCAAGGACAGTACCAATACACAGCGCCCGACGGAACCCCCATTCAGGTGACCTACACCGCCGATCAGAACGGATTCCAACCGCAGGGTGCACACATCCCTCAGGTTCCTGCGCTGATCAACAAAGCTCTGGAATACATCCGATCGCACCCCCAACCCGAGCACTCCGACGTCAACTGATACGATTTGATTAATTAATACTTTAAGAAAGGACAATGTGGCGATTTAATTCGATCGAGTTACATCTAAAAATTGGTAGAATATATCCCAGGCTCTATAAATTTCAGGCATCTCTTTATTTTGTTATTTGCTCGTAAACAATCGATCATAACATGTGAATCACAGAAACCAACTTTGGAATTGTATAATGAGGTTTTGCAAAATTGCAAGTTCTCTCAGCTATGTACTATCACATTAGACCAAACAATAAAGAATTTTTATAATTGTATCTAACATAATTATTTCATATTTTATATAATTACCTAATGCAATCATTTAATATTATCACTTGATGAAGTTGCCCAAGTGAATTGTTGGATGACTAGTAATAATTATGACGCGAACCGAGGAACGACATTTGTTGATTGAACAAGATTTTCATGATTAAAAATATAATAAAACGCGGTAACAATGGATTGTAATAAACTTTTCCGTTTCACAACACAACAATGGATCGTAAGCAGTCATAATACGGTTGATGCAGCGGAGAGAAACGATGATCCGAAGGCGAATCATGGCATCGTGTGCTCTTCTTACGATTAGCTAATGCCGAGCGCAGCATAACTGAGAGGTCATATCACGCCTCGCCGCAATAAGCTGAGAGATTCGTCGGTTTCCCGACCCACCCATCTTCATTCGATGAACAATAAAGATAATAATCGATAAACCCCCGCTCCGAGGTTTGTCCGCCGGCCCGGCATTCCTCACCGTAACATTCTTTAGTAATAACCAATATCAGATCATCTTATAAATAATAAATACATTATTTTACATGAAACGTATGTTCAGTTAAGACGAAACGTG